CACGCTTTACACTCCACACTCCACACTTCCCACTTTACACTCCACACTCCACACTTTACACTCCACACTTTACACTCCACACTCCTCACTTTACACTCCACACTACACACTCTACACTTTACACTCCACACTCCTCACTCCACACTTTATACTTTACACTCCACACTTTACAGTTTGCACTTTACACTCTACACTTTACACTCTATACACTTTACACTCTACACTCCACACTCCACACTTTACACTCCACGCTTTCCTCTCCACGCTTTACACTCCACACTTTACACTCCACACTTTACACTCCACACTTTTACGCTCCACACTCCGCAGTCTACACTTTACACTCAACACTCTACACTCCACACTTTACCCACTGCACACTCCACACTTTACACTCCACACTCCTCACTCCACACTCCACACTTTACACTCCACACTTCCCACTTTACACTCCACACTCTACACTTTACACTCCACACTCCACACGTTACACTCCACACTCCGCACTCTACACTTTACACTCTACACTCCACACTCTACACTGTCCACTCCACACTGACTGCAGACTGGTAACAGGGGAAATATGTATATACAACACTGTTCAAATAAACTTTTGCAGAAAATTGTTCTGAGTGACTGCATATCCATTAAAATACGTGTGAGCATTCGGGTTCGTGGGCTGCATCTTGTTCTTCTCCCCACCCATTTCCAGCCACTCACTTGCACCCACGCCGTCCGCAGCCGTGAACGCAATTCTCCGCACCCATTTCCCGTCCGCAGCCGTCCGCACAGCCAAGCTCGCTCATCCCCAGCGGCTTCTTCTCCCCACGCATTTCCAGCCACTCCGTTGCACCCACGCCGTCCGCAGCCGTCCGCGCAGTTCTCCGCACCCATTTCCCGTCCGCAGCCGTCCGCGCAGCCAAGCTCGCTCATCACCAGCGCGATCCCCACCCATTTCCAGCAACTCACGCCGTCCGCAGCCGTCCGCGCACCCATATCCCGTCCGCAACCGTCCGCGCAGCCAAGCTCGCTCATCACCAGCGGCTTCTTCTCCCCACCCATTTCCAGCCACTCCCTTGCACCCACGCCGTCCGCAGCCGTCCGCGCAATTCTCCGCACCCATTTCCCGTCCGCAGCCGTCTGCGCAGCCAAGCTCGCTGATCTCCAGCGGCTTCTTCTCCCCACCCATTTCCAGCCAGTCCCTTGCACCCAGGCCGTCCGCAGCCGTCCGCGCAATTCTCCGCACCCATTTCCCGTCCGCACCCGTCCGCGCAGCCAAGCTCGCTGATCTCCAGCGGCTTCATCTCCCCACCCATTTCCAACCAATCCGTTGCACCTACGCCGTCCGCAGCCGTCCGCGCAGTTCTCCGCACCCATTTCCCGTCCGCAGCCGTCCGCGCAGCCAAGCTCGCTCATCACCAGCGGCTTCTTCTCCCCACCCATTTCAAGCCAATCCGTTGCACCCACGCCATCCGCATGCAGCCGTCCGCGCAATTCTCTGAACCCATTTCCCGTCCGCAGCCGTCCGCGCAGCCAAGCTCGCTGATCTCCAGCGGCTTCTTCTCTCTACCCATTTCCAGAAACCCCCTTGCACCCACGCCGTCCGCGCAATTCTCCGCACCCATTTCCCGTCCGCAGCCGTCCGCGCAGGGAAGCTCGCTGATCTCCATCGGCTTCTTCTCCCCACCCATTTCCAGCCACTCCCTGGCACCCACGCCGTCTGCAGCCGTCCGCGCAAATCTCCCCACCCATTTGCTGTCAGCAGCCGTCCGCGCAGCCAAGCTCGCTCATCACCAGCGGCTTCTTCTCCCCACCCATTTCCAGCCACTCCCTTATTGTACCACGCCGTCCTCAGCCGTCCGCGCAATTCTCCGCACCCATTTCCCGTCCGCAGCCGTCTGCGCAGCCAAGCTCGCTCATCACCAGCGGCTTCTCCTCCCCACGCATTTCCAGCCACTCCCTGGCACCCACGCCGTCCGCAGCCGTCCGCGCAATTCTCCGTACCCATTTCCCGTCCGCAGCCATCCGCGCAGCCAAGCTCGCTCATCACCAGCGGCTTCTCCTGCCCACGCATTTCCAGCCACTCCCTGCATGGCACCCATGCACGCCGCACCCATTTCCCGTCCGCAGCCGTCCGCGCAGCCAAGCTCGCTCATCACAAGCGGCTTCTTCTTCCCACCCATTGCAAGCCACTCCCTTGCACCCACGCCGTCCGCAGCCGTCCGGCCGTCCGCGCAGTTCTCCTCACCCATTGGCCGTGCGCAGCCGTCCGCGCAGCCAAGCTCGCTCATCCCCAGCGGCTTCTTCTCGCCACCCATTTCCAGCCACTCCCTTGCACCCACGCCGTCCGCAGCCGTCCGCGCAATTCTCCCCATCCATTTGCCGTCCGCAGCCAAGCTGGCTCATCCCCAGCGGCTTCTTCTCCCCAACCATTTCCAGCTGCTCCCTTGCACGCACGCCGTCCGCAGCCGTCCGCGCAATTCTCCCCACCCATTTGCCGTCCGCAGCCGTCCGCGCAGCCAAGCTCGCTCATCACCAGCGGCTTCTTCTCCCCACCCATTTCCAGCCACTCCCTTGCACCCACGCCGTCCGCAGCCGTCCGCGCAATTCTCCGCATCCATTTCCCGTCCGCAGCCGTCTGCGCAGCCAAGCTCGCTCATCACCAGCCATCCCCCACCCAACTCCCTTGCACCACGCTGTCCGCAGCCGTCCGCGCAATTCTCCGCATCCATTTGCCGTCCGCAGCCGTCCGCGCAGCCAAGCTCGCTCATCACCAGCGGCTTCTTCTCCCCACCCATTTCCAGCCATTTCCTTGCACCCACGCCGTCCGCAGCCGTCCGCGCAGTTCTCCGCACCCATTTGCCGTCCGCAGCCGTCCGCGCAGCCAAGGTCGCTCATCACCAGCGGCTTCTTCTCCCCACCCATTTCCACCACTCCCTTGCACCCACGCCGTCCGCAGCCGTCCGCGCAGTTCTCCGCACCCATTTGCCGTCCGCAGCCGTCCGCGCAGCCAAGGTCGCTCATCACCAGCGGCTTCTTCTCCCCACCCATTTCCAGCCACCCCCTTGCACCCACGCCGTCCGCAGCCGTCCGCGCAGTTCTCCGCACCCATTTGCCGTCCGCAGCCGTCCGCGCAGCCAAGGTCGCTCATCACCAGCGGCTTCTTCTCCCCACCCATTTCCAGCCACTCCTTGCACCCACGCCGTCCGCAGCCGTCCGCGCAGTTCTCCGCACCCATTTGCCGTCCGCAGCCGTCCGCGCAGCCAAGGTCGCTCATCACCAGCGGCTTCTTCTCCCCACCCATTTCCAGCCACCCCCTTGCACCCACGCCGTCCGCAGCCGTCCACGCAGTTCTCCGCACCCATTTGCCGTCCGCAGCCGTCCGCGCAGCCAAGGTCGCTCATCACCAGCGGCTTCTTCTCCCCACCCATTTCCAGCCACCGTTGCACCCACGCCGTCCGCAGCCGTCCACGCAGTTCTCCGCACCCATTTGCCGTCCGCAGCCGTCCGCGCAGCCAAGGTCGCTCATCACCAGCGGCTTCTTCTCCCCACCCGTCACCCACCCCTTGCACCCACGCCCGTCCGCAGCCGTCCGCGCAGTTCTCCGCACCCCATTGCCGTCCGCAGCCGTCCGCGCAGCCAAGGTCGCTCATCACCAGCGGCTTCTTCTCCCCACCCATTTCCAGCCACTCCGTTGCACCCACGCCGTCCGCAGCCGTCCGCGCAGTTCTCCGCACCCATTTGCCGTCCGCAGCCGTCCGCGCAGCCAAGGTCGCTCATCACCAGCGGCTTCTTCTCCCCACCCATTTCCAGCCACCCCCTTGCACCCACGCCGTCCGCAGCCGTCCGCGCATTCTCCGCACCCATTTGCCATCCGCAGCCGTCCGCGCAGCCAAGGTCGCTCATCACCAGCGGCTTCTTCTCCCCACCCATTTCCAGCCACTCCGTTGCACCCACGCCGTCCGCAGCCGTCCGCGCAGTTCTCCGCACCCATTTGCCGTCCGCAGCCGTCCGCGCAGCCAAGGTCGCTCATCACCAGCGGCTTCTCCTCCCCACCATTTCCAGCCACTCCGTTGCACCCACGCCGTCCGCAGCCGTCCGCGCAGTTCTCCGCACCCATTTGCCGTCCGCAGCCGTCCGCGCAGCCAAGGTCGCTCATCACCAGCGGCTTCTTCTCCCCACCCATTTCCAGCCACTCCGTTGCATCCACGCCGTCCGCAGCCGTCCACGCAGTTCTCCGCACCCATTTGCCGGCAGCCGTCCGCTCCATTCCTTTCCCTTCCTTTCCCATCCTTTTCCGTTCCTTTCCCATCCTTTCCCTTCCTTTCCTTCCTTTCCCATCCTTTTCCGTTCCTTTCCCATCCTTTCCCTTCCTTTCCCTTCCTTTCCCTTCCTTTCCCTTCCTTTCCCTTCCTTTCCCTTCCTTTCCCTTTTCTTCCTTTCCCATCCTTTCCCTTCCTTTCCCTTCCTGTCCCTTCCTTTCCCTTCCTGTCCCTTCCTTTCCCATCCTTTCCCTTCCTTTCCCTTCCTTTCCTTTCCCTTCCTTTCTTTCCTTTCCCTTGCACCCACGCCGTCCGCACACCACCGTTCGAGCCAGGTCGCTCCCCCACGCGGTTAAACAACTAAACGAGAACCCAAGCATCGAAGATGCTTTTGGGAAAAAAAATATCGAACGCCCCAATTTTTCGTATTGGTGGCTACAATCGTTTGTTTGGAAGCGTTGTTAATATAGGTTTAAAAAAGAAGGTTGGACCACAAGTTGTTCGGTTGAAAAAAAAACGGGGATGTCAAGGAATCTCCAAGCAAGTTTGGTCCCCGTAGGCACCGATCGCATGAGTACGGGTCAGAAATGTCTTCCTCAAACCGTTGGATTGTCAATCATAGAAGAAATCAACAAAAATCACCATTCTATCTGCAATAACCCATGTTTAAAACTGTCTATTCATTTCAAGTATAGCTTAGCCTATAGCCATCTATAGCCTATAGATATAGGATTTTCTTCAACATGCATCCAGGTGCCAATTTCTGCGGGAGATGGGATCGGTGACTGGGAAGCCCATGGCTGCCCACAAGCCGCTTTGGATCCTTGGCAGGAGCGCTTGGCGCCATTTCTGTGTCAAGTGTGTCCCCACAGATGGAGTCTGTGGAGCACTTCTTGGTTCATTTTGGAAACGGATGTCCGGTTTGTAAGTAAATCTATCTTTTAGGTTGCTTGTTGCTACGAGTAGAGTCTGCTAGAGGTTAATGGTCCGTTGATCTAACTGGGTTTTTTGTCGTTTTTCCACATGGAACGGGCGGTATTTTATAGGCTTATACTACCCCTTTGGGTGGGTTTTTCGGGCATCAAAGATGGCCAAAAATGTTCTGCCACCGAAACCACGGTAACCATCAGTCACTGAATGGACCGAAACCTCCGTGGCTGTGTAACGAATGAAATTACCATACCGGGTACCCTCTGATAAACTAACATAGCTATTGAAAATGGCCATTTATAGTGGGTTTACCCATTAAAAATGGTGATTTTCCATAGCTATGTTAGTTTACCAGAGGGTAAACCGAAAACCAATGGATTTTGAACATCAACCGAATCTTGAGAACAAGACCTCGGAGCGAACTGTTCTTGCCGAAGGTGTTTGAAAAAACAACGAAAAACCCACGCCCATCGTTTGAGAGAGACCCATGGCTATACAATCTCTTCCTTCTGCCCAAGGGTCGCATACTCCGAGACATAAACGAAGAGCAATGGGACCGTATAAGGCCAGAGACTCAAGATGAAGAAGAAACGTTCCTGTGTTGTTGTGTTGGGCTACCCTCTGGTAAACTAACATAGCTATGGAAAATCACCATTTTTCATGGGAAAAACCACTGTTTCTATGGCCATTTTCAATAGCTATGTTAGTCATTACCAGATGCTACCCAGGCTCATGGGGAAGTGACGAAAACCCGATGCCGAGACGGCGAGACTGCGAGACAAACAAGGTACGTACCCCTACCCAATGTTTACACATATCAATACATAGTTAATATATAAGCATATATATATATATGTGATACAATCTAATACAATATATATAATATAATATAATACATTAAATTACATTATATTCTATTACTATGTATGTATAGTTATAATTTAAAACATATGTATACTTGAAACATCCAAATGTATATGGGTCTGTCAATTGCCACTCTGCATGAACACTGAAAACGTCAGACCCACCGCCAGTTGCAATGCCATCAGACAGTTCCATTTGGGCCAAAAAAAACATACCCCAAACTTACCCAAAAGGATCTTGACTTTGAACCTTCATATGGACCTATCATGACCTATCCATAGCTATCCCCATTTCAAGCTGCTTTCCCCTCAAAGACCTTCCGGCCTTGCTGGTCAGCCGACCGGTTGCCACCTCTGAGGCACTATGACAACCTCAGTCAAGGCACTGGTGGTCTTGTTGAGGGCCAGCACGGGGGGTACATACCCCAAGCTCGCTGGATGGTTGATTTCAGGGAAAATCCGAAAATAAATGGATGATGACTAGGGCTACCCCCATAAATTGGAAACCACCATAAGTATAAGATTGTGTAAGTTCTGTAATCATCTATCATCCGTATAACTTGAATCCGGTCAATCACCCAGGGGAATGGTGAACGCGACAAATCTATTCGACTGGGAAACGACAGGACTCCCTGTATTCCATGGTGTTGATCCTTCCAAGAAGCGGTGTCACGCCAGGTCTGGATCAAAATCCTTTAATGTCAAAAATCCTCAAAACAACAGTGTGAAAAAAAAGTTGAAGCATATTTAGTGGATATGCTCAATATGATATCATATTATCATATATGTATATACATATATACATATATATATATGATTATATGAGATGATGGGATTATATATGCATTAAAAAAACATCAAAAAAACATCAACCAACGCCACTGGGCAGGCAGCTGCTAGAGGTCTCCGACATGTTGACCGAGGTCTCGGACTCCACATGTGAAAGCTCCTGGACCGCGGCGATGCCAGGTGGGTCACCAGTTCTGTTTGGGCGGAGTTCATCCGCCAAAACGGTGGAGTGAAACATACCCTCTTGTAATGACTAACATAGCTATTGAAAATGGCCATAGAAATAGTGGATTTTCCCATTGAAAATGGTGATTTTCCATAGTTATGTTAGTTTACCAGAGGGTAGTGAAATTCAAACATGATTTGACCAATCAAACTGGGGATGTAGAACTTGATGTAGAAAAAACGGATTGATGAAAAAAGGAAACACTTGCGGTTGAAACTATAGCTGTTACATGATCTTCCCAAATTGATCGGGTGTTGCTGTAAAATGTCCCTTTAACTAAGTACTAAGTCTGAAAATCAAGGTAGGCAAGCAGCAAAAATGGGGTTTTAACATGATTGAACTACAAAAAAAGGTTGGATCTAACAAACGAAACTATATAATGCCAAACATTGGGATTTACAGCAACCACCAACACTGCGGATTTCGCCAATTTTCGCTACATTTCGTATGGGGCTACCAACCATGGTTTGGGGATGTAATGTGATATACCATGGCATGGAGGTGGCTGAAAATGCTGGATTTACAGCCACTATCCATGTGCCAACAGATGGTGGCTGGTCTCTATACCAATACATCTCCCGCTTAGCACGAAAAAAGCTATCCCAATGGAAGCGTTCAAGCTCTGATCATTTGGATATCTGGTTGGTGGTTTCAATCCCTCCGAAAAATATGAGTTCGTCATTTGGGATGATGAAATTCCCAATATAGTTGGTGGTTTCAAACATCATTTAACATCATTTAACATCATTTAACATCATTGAACATCATTGAACATCATTTAACATCATTTAACATCATTTAACATCATTTAACATCATAACATGTAATATCCATTTCGACATGACCGTCATGTTACACCCAGTCCCTGGAATTTCAGGCCAGGCCCAGGCCACAGTCCTCTGCCTCAGATTCCTCGAGCTGATCCAAAGTCACTCGCTCCTATCGTTTTCGACAGAAAAAGCTGGGAAAATGGATGGAAATTGGATGGTTCTTCCAAATCCATTGGAAATTTGCTGGGAAATTGGATGTCAACCATTGGAAATTGGATGGAAAGCTGGGAATTTAACCCCGGTCAAAATGATGAAACATGGGGATCTAACCATCAAATATTAGTTGAATGGATGGAAAATGGATGCACAGCTGGGAAATTGGATGGAAAATTGGGGATCGAACATGTGCCCAAATTTGTCGAAGCCTGTCCTTGTCAATCCAAGGAATGCCCAACAAACCTGTGGCAGAGGCTTTGTGCCGAAACCGCTCAGGCTTTGTTACCCGCAGTTGCAAGTTGAAGATTGGTTCTCATATGTTCAAGAACCCCAGTTGGTTGATGATTAAGTTGATAGATGTTGATAGGATTTTATTTAGGTGGTTACACTATGTTACACTACCGGGTACATGCTGGGGATGATCATAATCCATGAAGTGATGAGATTTCGCACCACAACTGCCACGCTCCTGAGAAATACGTGGCTATGGTGGCCAAGTCACCTTGATAGATAGCTGTGGATGCATCCCTACATCAAAAAAAGATGTCCCGCCAAGGAACCATAGAAGGTGAGCAGCCAAGCCGCTGGAATCCACAGCGCAACCATCAACTGGACCTGCCAGGGAGTCTACCATCATCCCAGTAAGAAAGGAGTCCAAACCAACCCTCAACTCATGGTCGATCTGCGATGATTCCCATTCACCACATCTCTTCAGCCCCAACCTGGAAGCAGGTGTCGATGGCATCAAAGGTTAAGGACCAAAGATATCCTGTGGTCAGCATTGGGGCGAACAGTGACCAACAAACTGCTTCAAATTTTGGAAGGCTAAACTTTGATGAACATTCAAATGGATTAAAGGGATGGTCTTTTTTTGTTGAATTTACAGAACAATTTCATGGATGGTTTCTATATAAACATTAACATCCAAAATGGGATGGTTCAATACTGGACATGAAGAATTTTGTGTCCAGTTTCACCCCCTTAAATTGTGGACAAGACCCAATGGACACCCAATGGTTGGTGGGTCAAAACACCATCTGTGCAAACAGAAAGCTCACCTGCGTCAACCTTCACCCGCATGAAACATGAACTGAACATATGATGATGTGCAAGTGCAACGCCCAAACAACTTCGGGTGATTTACCCATGTATGTTTTCTTCTTCCTTTTATTTTTCTTTTTGTTATTATAATGTTATTATTATTTTTATTCTTCTTCTTCTTCTTCCCTTCTTCTTCCACGATGTCTTGATGTGTTCTTCCCATTGCCCGTTGAAGGGATGTTGACCCCGCAAACGTGTGCCATGGTCCAACGCAAAACATGTAGGGGATGTTGACTCTGTGTACTGTGCAAAAGGTTGTTAATGCCCCATAAAGGGACCCTCCTTTGATTTGCTTCATGGCACATAGAGAACTAGGCCAAGGATCCACTGACTATCTCCTTTTTGGCCAACCACTGTGGGAATTGCCACCCTCAAACCATCAAGAAAGTGTCAACTTGCTTTGGTAGTTTATGATGGTGTCCATTTCCCAAGTTTTTTTCTTACATCTTTACTCGTTGTTCATGGGGATTTTTCCATCCCACCCATTTTGGTGACCCAATAATTAGGCCTTAATAGATAGACAATGATAGATACATGATATATAGATGGTTAAGATTCGACCTTTAAAAGGTGGCTGCTGCTTATAAGCTCAGAACATAAACATCTATCTATCAATGGTGGGGTCCACCTTTCGTGAGGGATAACTTGGTGGGTGAAGTCGCGGTTGATCGTTAATTCCCCATGTCTGGTGGTTAACTAAATCCGAATGTTTGCTGGTACAATCACCATGTTTGGTGGGTTAAATCCCAACTGTGGCTGGCATGACAAACTGAACCTGCACACTACGCAGCTTTACTTCCATGCTCAGGTCTTGCACGCTGAACACCTGGACTTTCGGCGATTGTGAGGGCAAAGACCTCGGCCACCGCACCACTGGCACATCGACCATCGGCGATTGTGAGGGCAAATTCCACGGCCGCCGCAATCCTTGCACAACGACCTTCGGCATTTGTGGTCGCAAAAGTCTAAATGTTCAAAGTCGTCCAAGCGAGTGTCCGTGCCATCCAGAGAAAGCCAAGGGCATTTCTTCCCTAGCCTCTTCCTGCAGGTTCGATGGCCATTGAGCGGAACCAAGGCATAAATTCGCCCATTTCTCGGATGTTTCAAAAACCAGCTAGTGCTGCTACGTTCCGCGCATCGGGAACATTTCAACATGATAACTTGGTCAGGGGCCTCATACACTGCTGGCAAACTCCTGACGCGTTCATTTGGGCGATACACGCCGTCAACGGCCGCAGACTTATCCCTGCTTCTGGCAGCCTTGTCTTTGCGGACCTCTGGTACCTTAATGGATGCTTTCCGTTTTGCTGGACAAGACTGCGCGTTGCCTGCAACCAGCAACTCTCGAAGTTGCCGCCATTGTCTCATTGCAAGCGACTTACCGTTCCCAGAGAAGAAGGTCTCTTTCCCCTGCATCAGTTGAAGAATGTACAACACAGCTGCTTCAACTGCCCAGTAGGTTGTGATGTCGCTCAAATCCAATGAACTCAAAGCTGAGATCAACAAACGTCGCACGCGGCGCTGCAAGTCGCTAGGCTGAGAAACCGTGACACCCTCGGTTGCAGCAACCTCGGTAGCGGCGACGTGTTTCGCGTCGAAGGAGCCTGGTGCATGAAGCCATCCCGCACAGCGGCATAGCAACTTGCAAATGGCATTACCATCGAACTCCACCTCATTCAGCAAGTCATTGAGCAAAGCTTCCGCAGCTTCAATCATTACAAGTTTTCCTTCCCAATCTGCATTGTGAAATCTGGTGATACTTCGTTGCAGCTTCCTGGTAGGTTGCTTTGCTGAGGATGCAGGCTTTGCTGCTTTCGTCTGGATACTTTGCAGCCCCACTTCTGCAAGCGCTGAAGATGTTGCAGTTTTCTCGATGATTTCCAGATCAACAGCCAGATCTTCCCGATCTGCGGCCACTGAAAATGACACAGTGTGGCCAATCCGCACGTGTGGCGGGCTACGAGCAAAAGGCAACCGCCAGGAATCTCCAGTGGAAGTTCCGCAAAGCAAAGAGCCACCGCCCTGATAGTGAAGTTGGCACACGAAACCTATCGGCATGGCGTCGATGAGGACAAGGTGCAATGACTATCAGCAACTTGCCTCAGACAAAAAAGTATCGGATGTTTGCGGTGGGCCAAATCTAGTTTATGAATTGCTAGATCACCAAACCATGTCTGGTTGGTGGTTTTAACCATCTTGAAAAATATTAGTCAATGGGAAGGATGACATCCCATTGAAATTGTGGAAAATAATATCGCCATGTTTGAAACCACCAACCAGATGTACATTTACCTAGAATTCCCTAGAGATATGTTGCAGCAGTGGATGACCTCAAGCCCATGGCCCTGTGTCCTGTGCGGCCGCCCTCGGTGAGATGAGCTGGGACCATGGTCCAAGTGTTTTCAAATATCGGGGTGACTGGTTGGCGATTTTCTGCTGAAACTTCACAACAAAACATGGATCAAAAAATGGTTGCTGCTGTTGGAAGTGGGCTGAATCTTGAAAAATGATCGAATAATTGTCTGCAAACCTCAAATGTGTGCACCTGTTGGGCAGTTCCCTTTACTCATTTGTGGTGAAACCTCGCTGGGCTCTATACTCAAATTTGGATGCATTTCCTCCCGCACAAACAGGGAAATGGTAGGTTCATCTTTAAAAATAAAAAACTAGAGCCCATCAGCCACTCAGCCTTTTATACATATGATGAATTCTGATAAATATACATATATTCTATAAGAATATATTCTCTATGGCTTACCCGAACCAAGCGCATGGCTCGGTGGCTTAGTGCTGCATCGGAGAATCATCTTCCAGGCGGGTCATTTGGGAAGGAAGATCAGAAAAAGTGGAAGTTGATTTCTTACACTGTGAGTAAAATGGCCCCCAATGTGAGTTGGATTTCTATCCCCCTTGATTGATGGCTAGGTACCCTTACCCCCTTACCCCACCATTCCATCAGGTCCTGCGATGCCCGCGAAGCCAGTGCCAGAGGACCACGCTGCTAAGCAGCTCTGGGCAGAGAGGCGGAATCTCAGGGCGGGGCTATGGAAGAGGAATACATCATATAGTATATATATATATATTGTGTACATATTATGTACATATGTCATGTATATATATATGTCATCTATATATAAGATACATATAAGATATAATTATTATATAATTATCATATATCTATGTATGTATATGATAGTATATGTGTATAGAGAGAGAGAGAGGTAGATAGATTAGACACGAGTGAATTGGATTTGGCTAAATCAAGAATGATAGAGAGACATGAGAGATCATGAGTAGATTTTGTTCTTCATTTTTTTTCTCTGTGTGTGTGCGGAGGACCCTTCGATGCCACAACCTAATGCAGACTATCCAGCAGCGTTTAACTGCAACATCCGTCAACCATGGGAAAAAGTATCCATCCATTGATCTATGAATGGAAAAGCTTCGGGGGACCCCATTTTATGGCCAGTTGAAAGCATCGAACTAGGGAAATTAATGACAAAAACCCACTGAAATTCGGAATACCATATCTTTAAGACACCATTTGAGGGATGGTTCTTTGCGAAGTCTAGATTGTTCTGTGGGTCATCAAATAGTTTTATGAACAAATTTGTGGGTTTGATCACCTAAAATTCATATCTGATAACTCAAATTCAAATCGCAATCATCCATCGGAGAAATGCTATTGAACATGCTGTCTTCACTCATTTAACATCATTCGAGGGTTTCCTCCAAATGGGTGGTACCCCCAAATCATCCAAGTCATTAAGCCATTTTAGTATTGAAAGCTATGGTGACTTGGGGACTTGGGGACCATGACTTCAGTCCCATGTAACATCATTTAAGATCATTAAAAGTCATTGAACCCTTGGAAAACCCTCGGAAAACCATGGGAAAACTTGGAAAACCATGGGAAAACTTGGAAAACCATGCTGATAGGATCCATGTATGCTATAGTAACATAAACCATCAATATACCCCCAATGTTAGCATATATACCAGCACCATGGATCCGTCATGGGATGGGAAAACCCATGGGAAAAACCCATCCGCCTGGGCATCGTAGAAGCTGGTCATGGCCAGGATCGAGGCTTCGCCCATGCCAGCGGCCACTGAACAACACGCCACCTGACGTCCCGGGCGTCCCTCTTTCAACGAGCCAAAAAGGGCCTTCTGAATGGATCAAGTTCACCAAAACTGGAAAAACATGGGGAAGAAACATGGGAAAAAACGAGTTCACCTCAGAAAAATGCTAAAGTTCACCAGGAAACATGGGAAAACTCTTCAGTGTGTTCATCGAAAAAGTGGGTGATTTCACATGAGACAAGGCACCAAAAGCTTGGGAAATTCATGGAAATTCAATGGATTGCCAGATTCTATGATATTCTATGGGGATACACATTGATATCAATGGGGATATAACTGATATAACCAACAAATATGACCATCAACGGATTGATTCTCACGGGGATTGATCAAGCAGGAATTTTTTTTGTGAAATTACCATCAAACAGTGGGACTCCGGAAAGGACTTCCCATCAAACAATGAAAGGTCCCCCGGAAAACATACAAACAGATATGAGAAAAAAACACCAGTTAAATGGTAGATCATTTTCTAAGGAGAAACAATGGATATATATATATATATATTGTATGTATGTATGTATGTATGTATGTATGTATGTATGTATGTATGTATGTATGTATGTATGAAACGAAAAGGACTGTGATGAAATCCCTCTCCAAAAATGTAAAGTGAATCCGCACTGGTTTGATGATGATGCGCGTTTCTATTCAAAAGGCCCTCGACACAAAAAGACTTCACTTGCGATTCGGGGCGATGCTTTAGAATCCTCTGGATGGGTGAGAGTTCCGTTGCCGCAAGAGAGTCATCGCACATTCTCACTTCAGTTTGGCCTGTATTCCACCTTAAAACAATTCTGAATACCTTGCCGGAATCTTACTATATTTATACATATGTATATACATATGTATATATATATAATTATTATTATTATATAATGTTATGTATATTGTCATATATTTATTTTAATATATATATATATAATTATATATATCATCATATATTCTGTTATTCTATATCCTATTCCACGCGGGTTTTAGCACAAAATAGCACAAAAATAGGCACCAAATTGCTCGTATCCAAGGCTCGCCCAGCAGTTTGATGTGGTTCCCACGTCCCCAAGCAACAATGCAAAGGCAGCAAACCATGAGGAAGGCCATGACGTGCATTCGACACCTGGCACGTTCAAAACCATGAGGAACCCATAGCAAAATAGCTGGTGAACCCATAGCAAAATAGCTGGTGAACCCATAGCAAAATAGCTGGTTCGAGATTCAACCCCCAAACGATTAGGCAAACAGGCAAACATTTAACATTACCCGATTTTTGGATGCCTGGGAAAGAAAAAAAACTGTCCTACTGAGGTAACCTGAGCTAAGCCACAGCAGTAGCTTGATGGTTTGTCGGTACACGTCTTGAGAGATGATAATGGATGAGAATGAATGATTTTGCCGGGAACCCCTCTTGGAGACAAACCAATCTGGAGGATATTGAACATCACCGGAGATGTTGCCACTCAACATTCCAATACGTCTTTTTGATGGTTTACCCTCTGGTAAATGTTTACAGTTTGCTGTTGAAAATGGCCCATTCGAAATAGTGGATTTACCCATTAAAAATGGTGGATCTTTCCCATCAGTTTTTTGTATGTTTACCAGGCCGGGTATCTTGTGAGAAACTCAACGAATATGGCTGCAATCCATTCCCTGGGATATCCTCACCACGCCTGTAACTCACGTAGTGAAACCAATAGGGCCCGGTGAGTTTCATGGTCAACGACGGGACCACATTCACCAGGTAGACTAGGGCGATTCCTGCCTCTAGACAGTGCCATCTCTTTTGTCGGTGCCATGGTCAAGTTAGATGGGACATACTGGAGATTCATGGCAACATAAAACATAAACCGAGAAATTCTTGGTGTTTGATAGGATCAGATGTGATCACATGTGCCCTGGTCAACTTATATATGGTTTTAGTGAGTTATGGTAACCACCTGGTAATCCTTTTTCCATATCAGCAATCCAAACATCATGGGCATAGTAAATCCCTATGGAAAAAACTGGATTGACCATCCTCTAAGGACTGGGTATACCATCCAACTTTGGATCCTAAACCCACAGGCCAAGTTAAGGTGATGCGTCTGGGTTTTGGGCAATTGATGTACGAAAATTGTACCAAGGCAATAAAAAAAGAGAGAACACAAACATTAGTTTACAGAATGATGTTCCAATTGATAAGCAATGTTCTCGCCCTCGTGTTTGCTCAGCCTCTGCATGGAAAAAGAAACCATCAGCTGGGCCATTCTATAGCGATGTGGTAAACCCAATGCCAGAAACCTCCATAATCAGAGCTTGTTTTAAAAACTACCCCATCATTTCTGGTAAGTCATTGTGGCATTGGGGTCTGGTTGATTTACATATTCCATGAGTCACAGCCATCACCAGCCCCACCAGCGCCTCATTGATACTGCCGGCACCGGCATTCATGACGACCCATAGGAAGTTGTTCAGAAGACCCAGGATCCAAAAGACCTTGAAAGTGACAAAAAAACGTCCCAAGTAACCCAAGGGGGTTTGCTAACTGCGGATCTCCTAAGAAAATGATTCTATATGAAGTGTCCCAAGTGGGAAAGGATCCACCCAAAAAAAATGGTTGGAGCAGTGAGTATTGAGTGTGTTCAGTAAATCTAAATGGGAATTCAAGGCGATCAGCACGAAGGTAGCACCTATGACAAGGTCTTACTGAGGAACTCACTAGTAGACTAGTCATCATGATATAACCCGTGTTAAGGGTTTGAGAACCCTTTCTGTTGGACTTTGGTAGATTGCAGTTCAAAAACCAATAATAACACATATAACAATCATTGACCCTGCACCATGTTCATCCGGTGGTGAAATTGCCAGGCTTACAACTTCATGGACTGCGGGCCCGGAATCTATGGAACACCTACACCAACATCAATGACAAAAAAAAAAATAGGATCCCTGATTGATTCCCCCTAAAAAGGAGCAGAAAATTCGTGGTGGATTTGGGGCACCAAATCTTGGACACTTGGCATGATCCTGAAAAAGACCTAAACCCATCTAAACCCCACAGCTTACCACTCTTCAAATCGACCATCTCCACAATATGTATATATATATACATAATGTAAAATATATATATATATAATTATATGTAATTATATAATCATATGTATATATATATATATATATAATTGTATATATATGTATATAATCATATGATATGATATGATATCAAACCCCGAGTCCCCAAGCTTCGAGAAACAGCAGCTGTAGCAGCCACCAAAGCAACAGCCAAGGGACAACAAAGTTCCTGTAGGGTTTCGCCCGTTTACTGCACATGGCGGATTTTATGGCACGGCCGTGGCCGGCTCAGACTGGATCCAGCTGGGAAATGTCTCCAGTGTATTGAAAGAGTGGTGGAGTTATGGATTTATCCCGTCCGTGCGATCCTTCACCCATACTGCAATTCTTATGTTCTTTCCAGCATCAGCATCTGACAGTGGCGTAAGTCTTCCGCATAGGCTAATCTACCTGTTCATCAGAGATGGGGTTTTATAATTAATCCATTTTTGTGGCGGCCCGTTCATTTGTTGGTAGGACCCATCCCCAAACCCATCAGGAGACACTTTGTCCGGTGAGAAGTGGCCATGTCGTCAATATATCAATATATATCATGTGTTGACTCGAGCCATGCGACGAGAGCGGGTCGCAGAGACCGGCAGGATCTCTGGCGCATTCTGCATGACTCAACATGTCAGATATTTCCAGGGCACGTTTGTGCGTATGAGCCCTTCCAATTAGTTACAACCTCACAGATCACAGGCAAAAAATGTCTTGCTATGGTTTCAGCCACCAAACAATCCTCCGGCGCAACCACCTCCTTTTTCAAGCAACCACCCCATCGGCGCCCATCTTAGGCGCCCATCGCTTTTCATCCTTTCGATGTTCCGGTCATCCCTTCACGCCTGGAAAACAGTACTTGGCATAGACTGGGCCACTCGAATAAAAGCTGCTTCCTGGAGCAGATCGATCGAATCGATCATCTTTCGCTGGGAAAGATAGATTTAACTGTCGTTAACTGCCTTCGGGGAAAAGGTACTCTTATATACATATATATATATATTATACATATGTATGTATGATTATGTATGTATGATTATGTATGTATGATTATGTATGTATGATTATGTATGTATGTATGTATGTATGTATGTCTGTCTGTCTGTCTGTCTGTATGTATGTAATGTCATGTCATGTCATGTCATGTCATGTCATGTCATGCAATGCAATGCAATGCAATGCAATGCAATGCAATGTAATGTAATGTAATGTATGCATGTATGTATGTATTTATGTACGCATGTACGTATGTACGTATGTATATATATATATATATGTATGTATGTATGTATATGTAAATGTGTATATATATACACATATGTGTATGTATATATATATGTATATGTAAATGTATATATATACATATGTGTATGTATATATATATGTATGTATATGTATGTATACATATATATATGTATGTATATATATATATACATATATGTATATATACATACACATATGTATATGTATCTCTATATATATTTATGTATATGTATCTATATCTATATATATATGTATGTATGTATGTAAATATATATATATATACGTGTGTATGCATATATATATATATGTATGTATATATATATGTATACATATATGTATATGTATCTATACTGCCTTCAGAGAAAATGTACAAGTGCTGTAACACCATCTGATGGTTGAGAAAAGATGCTGGCAGGTAAAAGGATGAGATGATCTTTCAACATGTCTGGAAGTTGTGAAAAGTTCCTCATGATTTTCCCGAAATATTCCCTTCATACCTCAAAACACCTCCAGCAAAAATAAACAGTGCTCAGCGCTCAGCCGCAAAGTAACCAAAAAAAACAGCAAAAACAGGGTCAGATGTGGCATCAACCAAAGGCACGGTTCATCTGCTCCCAGATGTCGAATCCACAGGTGAAGTCTGGTGTGACATCCATCACCTTGTTGAGCTCAGGGAGGCACATCTAGGGGTCTGATATGAGGAGTGATGCAAACCCATCAGTTTTGGGTAGAAGCTCAGTCGTTTGAAACCAGATCGCCTTCGACATCTTTGACTTCGACTTGGTCTATGATTCGATGCTTCACGCCAGCTGCAACCTACTACAGTAACGACATCTAATTCGGTGGTTATCTTCTGCAGCCGCAGTTTCTGCCCCAAAAAATCGCCAGTATTTTTCGGCGAATCACCGCAGGGTCAGGTTGGGTCAGTCGTGATACTTTCTGTTGCCCTTGGCATATATCTTTAAACCAAATGGTGATATAATCGGGATATAGGGATATGATGGGAATCCCATCTGGAATCCCATCTTGGGCATACATACTTTATGAGTCGCCAAACTTGGAGCCCTTTTTTCAGGCGTCATCGAAAAAAGTTGCTCTCGTGATCACCATGATCACCATTCACCAGGCGATTTGCCCCCTGGCGCCGCGCCCCAGGGGAGGCACCTTCATTTCACCGAAGATGCAACCCTGCACAATGACTCCAAGAACACCTGAGACGGATGCGGACGGCTCCCTGATCCAAATCTCACTTTCACCATGAAAAAGATGGCAAATACGGCAGCAAAAAACTCCAGCAGAGGCACAGGGTCTACACCTTTAGGGTCTACACTTAGGGGACTAAAGAAACCTGGACCTGGAAAATGGATGAAAATGGGATGATATCAACCTTATATATATATATATACACTGTATATATACTCTGGTTGGTGGTATACCTACCCCTCTGAAAAATATATGAGTCAGTTGGGATTATGAAATTCCAATACATGGAAAAATAAAAGCCATGTTCCAAACCACCAACCAGTAATGTCAACCCTGGATTAATAAACCCCTAGGCTGTTTAATTGGGGGGGGGTACCATTTAAGTATCAGATGAAATGACTATTGGAGGAGTATCCCCCTAATTAATAAATTAATAAACCATGGTTTATTAATCCGGGGTTGACATTACTGTATATTGTGGGATCAACATAAATTCAGCACCATGGTATCCCCTAGCTGCACCGAGCCACTGGCCACGATCATCCCGAAGGTGTCGGCCACCGAAGCCGAGGACAAGGCCAGCTCCACATAGGCTGCAGGCTGTTCCTGCCGTGAGAATGATCGGACCGCCCAGGCAGCTGGTTGTTGACTGGTTGACCTACCCCAACCTGAAAAATGATGGTTTGTGAGTTCGTCAGTTGGGATGATGAAATTCCATGAAATTCCCAATTAATATGGAAAAGTGAAAGCCATGTTCCAAACCACCAAGCAGATTTGTGTCCTTCTGTATCCTTTTGCGCCCATTTTATTCGCACATCACCATCTAAAGGTATGCGAAATGTCACGCAAGATCAATGCGTGGCTGCTTGTCAACTTACCATGGCCACTTGCAGAGTTGGGCACAAAGATAGACGCATTTGTCCACATCAAGAAAAAAACGAGATACAACGAGAATCTTCCATCACCAATCAGCTATCAATCAGCATCAACCATCACTCCAGTTTCTCAGCGGTGACAAGCCTTCAACAATCCAACCTTGATCAATCAAGAAGGGCCCCAAAAAGGTGATGTGATCGATTCATCATTACTCGATGTGTTCCAAAACATGGTGTTCAGATGTTTTCAGGCCTTCCCTTCGCTTTAGCCTCCCTGATTTCCCGCTTACCACCCGGGTTACGGCCGCCGGGGCCTGCGCTATGAGAGAGAAGGCTCCAACGTAGACGCCACCACCCAGCAGACCCACACAGAGTGCCGGGACAAGCAGCCACCAATCACCAAAGGGTTCCCTGAACGGCGCAGCTTGCTGCAGGTTCGGGCATGGTGATGATGGTGATGAAGTGATGATTCGTTAAGTTGCTGTGGATTGTTTTTGCAGCTATATATAAATGTACTGAAATATATTGAACTGGTGGATGATGATGATGATGATGATGATAGTTCAAATGACTGGTGACTTCCGCCTGAATTGGGATTTGATTGCAGTCAAATGATGAAACTGATTATATATATTATATTATAAATGAATGATGGGTCATGGTGTGGTCACGGTTGCTGAAACAATTTTTGAGTTGAATGGTTGCTGAAGAAGGGAAGGATGGGACTGCCAGAGGCTAGAGGCCAGAAGAGGAGGGTGGGGCAACTTAGTTTCGGCTTGAACTCACCTCACTTTGTTTGGGTGGAGGCGGTTGGTTCCTCCATTCTGAGGCTATTTGATTGCATCCTCATGTTTGATAGGTCTGGATCCATCTCTGGTTGTTCCCATCTTCCTGTAAGGAAGTGGACATCTTATCGGACACCCATGATTTTCTAGGGTCCTCCGAAAAATAACAATTTTAAATGGAAAACCCATCTGCTTTGTGCTTCTGCTTCGTGCTTTCCCCTTGAAAACAACTTGTCAACTGGCACAATCTTCCCATTTCTTGCGGTGTTTGTTTCAAAACAGATCCGAATCAACACCCAAATCACCCACAGTTTTGCTGTAAGGGTGGATACATATGATATATATATATATACATAGACTTAGACAGATCAACATCCCAAATCAACAACAAAAAATCCCATGAGTTTTCCCCCTCTCCTGGCGCCATGCCAAGTCGCAAGGCCGCTGCCAGGAAGAACACTGCGAAGAAGACCTGCCAGTGGCCAATTCCCAAGGGATTCTTCGGTGATAACGACCGAACCCTGTTCTCCCGAACCCTGGAATCATGGTTTTCATAAGGAAATCATCCCCAAATGGCCGCAAGATTTCAGGTTAGTGAAATATTATAATTTACCCAGATGAATAGAATAGCCTCTGGTAATGACTAACAGTTTGCTATTGAAAATTGTCATTTACTTCGTTGATGTACCCATTGAAAATTGTGATTCTTCACAGCTATGTTTGTTTAGGGTAATCATTCATTCAATTATCATTCAATAATCAGAATATATCAGAATATAATATGTCTAATCATAAAAAATCTTAAAGTCATAACCCATGATAATTCTGGAATTATCATACGACCAGCTATGGGGATAGTTCGCCAGATGGATAAACTATGACAATTTCACTAGCCTGAAAAGTTCGGCTATGGATAATTCCCCGAATCCTAAACGTCATTCGGATAGTGAGGTGGGCTCGGTCGTTATAATTTGCTCAAATGTTTTCTTAATGTTGGCAAATATTTAGCTGTGTGTTAGAAATGATGGGATTTACCAACCTTTGAATCATTGTGAATCATTCAAACTAGAACTCCAAGGGTTTTTTCACAAAAAGACACGTTTTAACTTCAAGGGTTTCACGTAGAACTGCGAATTGGGCATCAGTACTGCCTGGTTTTTTTCGTAGCAATGAGATGATCCAGGTGTGGGGTTCTCCAAAAATGGGGGGCCGGAAAATGCCGAGTTCTTTATGGGGAGATAGAGAGGTCTTCATCACGAAAAAAACATGTTTGTTCATGTTTAATCCATTGGATAAACTGCAGCTTTGATGATCTTCGTTTGATGATTAAAAAAGCGCCTGCAGGAAGCCTCCGAGCCAAAGGATCTTCCGTGACCGGCAGATGAGGCTGAAGAAGCTCCTGGAACCCAGGATCTGAGAATGGGATTCCCCATGGATTGTGATATTCCCATTATGCCATCTGGTTATGACTAACATAGCCATGGAAAATCACCCTTTTTAATAGGTAAACCATCTATACATGGGCCATTTTCCATGGCTATGTTAAATAACCAGAGGGTATATATATATATATTAGTATAATATAGTAATATAGTATAATCCCCGAAGTCAACATCGATCCAACCCAGGGTAAGCCCTGCGCCTGGAAACAAAGACGCCGATCTGGTAGGTGAAATTGGACCACCTCAGAAAGGCTGGCGATGGACCCGGGTCCAAGCCACAACAAACATCCAAAATGGGGTCAGCTCCGAAACTTTTGACTCGGTACCTTTTTTCAGATCCAAAAAAGTCCAGCTTCCTTTCGCACTCAGTCCAGGAAAATATCTGCAACCTCATTCACTTCAGGTCCTTCTCGATTCTCAGGAGCAATTTCAACCATAAAAAAAAAGGTGCCTCTGGTCTCACGTTGATTCGACATGCCAAACATACCTGTCAAACACTGTGGATTCGATACTCGCTATAGGATACTGCTATGATAAGTCTGGATACTGTATATATATGTACATATATATATATATATGTATATATATGTATATATATATATATGTATATATATATATATTTATGTATATATGTATATATATATATGTATATATATATATGTATATATATATGGGACCACGGATAGCTGTTCAGGCATCTTGTGTTTCAGACTTAAAGCCGTGCCCATATCATAACTGTCCACTACCATCTCATCAGGACAATTCCAATTGGAATATCGTTTGCACTCCCAAAATGCAGCACTGTGGAAGGGATGTCCCGGTTTTTTTTTGCAACCATGATCATGTAATTCAACAAGATCAACAACGGATTGGTGGTTTCAACCCAGCCCAAAACTCTGAGTCACTTTCCACATCATCATCATCATCATCATCATCATCATCATCGTCATCATCATCATCATCATCATCGTCATCATCTCATTTCTATGGTTTTTCCCAGAAATGTCGGAAATCAGATCCAGAAATTTCTAAGGGATCTTTCCCCCCAGCCATCCTTCCGCTCCCGGCTGCTTCGGGCTTCACCGAGCAACTTGTACCAATGCCTTCGACTCACCGGGTCAGTGACAGGGAAACCCATGGCGGCCCAGAAGCCGCTTTGGATCCTCCGACCGTCCACGGAATCCACAAAGCAAACTGGATGATATACCGTGAGGCCATGAGGCCATGAGAAGTCAGTTGGGGTTAAGTTTTAGATGTTTTTAGGGGAATACCAACAAAAAAACATATATATATATATTGCTGGTTGGTGGTATACCTACCCATCTAAAAAATATGAGTCAGTTAAGGCGATGACATTCCCATTAGCAAACTGGATAGGAATATAGTACTGGATGATATATATATACTATGCTTAGTACTAGTATTGTTGTCATGACTATTGTTGTTACGATAATTTCGATCATCACATTGCACAGGGTACCCCGGGTACACCGGCTTGACACGGCTGAAATATCACCAACAAAAACCGATATTAGGGATCAGTTGGGTAAATCTCAAAGGCTTAAATCAACCAAAACAAATAGAATGTTGTATGTTATTAACGATATCTACATTTGTATATATATATATCCCCCCCTTTAAGGGGGGGGGTGGGGGGGGGGGTAAAAACTGAAATATTTCACTTTAGGGGGGGGTCTCCCCCCCCCACACACCTAGAAATATTTCACCTCCCTAAAGTGAAATATTTCAGCTAAAAAATTCTGGTCTATAATGGCTTTGGGCGTGGTTGAATTCAAGGCTGAACGTCATGTTCTGAAGGCTGTTTGGCAAGTTCACTCTCTTATTTACTTTCTTGGAAACCGGCAGTTACCATTTACCTAGTTGTCAGTGTTTGCGCATGGGCCCTACCCGCGTGAGGACTAAAAAGGTCCAAAAAGGAACAGCGTCCGGAGGAACCCCCCCCCCACGTCTTTTAGAAGCCCAAAAAAAATACGTGGGGGGGGGGTATATTTCACGTGGTCAGGTGAAATATTTCTCAGAAATTTCTTGCCTTACCCCCCCCAAAATATTCCAGGGTTAAAGGGGGGGGGATATATATATATATATATGTACATATATGTGCTTATGTATGCATTTATTTATTTATCAAGTATAGTTGACAGTTCTGGTTTCTTCACCAAGTTGGGAAGATCAGCTTCGACGAGTTTCAGGTATTCGGAGGCGTAGACCCAAAAGAGCGGCACCGTGTAAGGCCAGAGCCGCAAAATGAATTGGAAGCGCTCCTCGAAGCGTGGCTGTTCTGCTGTAGCTAAATCATACTGAATCATCACCCGGCGATTAGACTGTTGAAAAATAATTACACGAAAAGAAGCTACACTCATGTTCTCTTTCTTGGCAGAATTTGCAACTACTCTTGCTTAAACTTCAAAAGAAAAGAGACAAGTATGTTGGTTAGGAGTACAAATCCCATTAAAATCCATTAAACAACATTTTTTAACATATAAGTTGGCGTGAAACAATTCGCATGTCACCACCGCTCTTGGAGGGTCAACATCTCCTTCATCGTAAGGGTCTCCGTGGCCATCCACCGCCGGCCATGGCAGCTAGCGTCACGCAAGTCCTGCCCGGATATTTCGGGTTGTCTACAATGCATGTGTTTACTATAGACTGGATCTATATAGTGAATATTAGTGAATCATAGATGATCATAGTGAATCATAGATGCTCATAGTGAATCATAGATGCTCATAGTGAATCATAGATGATCATAGTGAATCGTACTAAATTTGTTACTAAATCATCTAAAGTTCTTCTCCAAGTCATCTGGGATACATCCAATATCCTGGGTGAAAAATGTTGCCGAAACCAGCTGTACACGAGATGCCCTCCAGGGCTGGTAGTTGCAGCTAGGTGACCCAAAACGGATTATCATGTTCCATACAAAGAACAAATATGAGATCGGAGCAATTTTGGTGCCTCAAAATGTGGAATCGCCATCCCATGATTTAAGACCTCATGTTCATGCACATTCCCCAGTCAACTTGCCAAAACACATAAATGTATACATGTAGTATAAATGCCATACATGCATATATATATAAGTACCATAAATTGGGTTTTCGTTCGGCCATATTTTTTTCGACACAACCATCCTCCCTTCGTGCCATCAACGACCTGGCTTTGCTCGTCATCTTCCTGCCGCGCCTGCCGCGATCGTCCGATTGTCCATCCGATGGCAGGGTCAACTGTTGACGATTGGTACCAAACACCAATGACGCCATATTTCCCATGCGGATTTTCCATTATAAACCATCCATTTCATAGGGTTTTCCATTATAATCATCCATTTTAATAATTTTTTTAACAATAATTATTCTGATTGGTACCATCTATTACTGGTAATATTGCTAATCCCATCCCATCTGTTGATTTAAGTTTTAGATGTTTTTAGGGGAATCCCAACAAAAAACATATATATATATATTACTGGTTGGTGGTTGACCTACCCCTCTGAAAAATATGAGTCAGTTGGGGTGATGACATTCCCAATATTGTGGAAAAATAAAAGCCATGTTCCAAAGCACCAACCAGATTACATATCATTACCCTGCCATAAGTCCATAAGTTGGTGATAAGTGGAAACTATGTGAATGTACTGGATGGTAGTAGGTACATAACATAAATCCCTTACTTTTAATGGATTGATGCTGATTGATGACGCCCCAATTGATGAAATCGGATCGAAGTCTTAACCATGGCATCAAAAAAAGAAGTAACTAGACTTTTAAACCTCTGGTGCTGGTGCTGCCAACCTTGGTTTTTTAAAGATCAATGGGAGATGGTCCAAGCCAACCTCTCTTCACTGGGATCAACTTACCAGTCTGTCAACTCGACATGAGTCTCACTAGATCGTCCGGAAAGTCATGGCCGTTAGCCTCTGGTAATCAATCATGGCAATAGAGAATTTCATGAAATGTTCATGTTTAATGGCAAAGGCAATCTATGATTTAAAAAATCGACAATGTCTACAAGGCCTAAACAATTCTATACACTGCTTCAATCGCAGCCTTTTCTATTGCCACCCACAAGTCACCAAACATCATCAGAGCGGAGCACCTGATTACGGACTTTGTCAATCCACGGCACGCCCAAAATCACAAAGAAGGTGAAGAGCCAAGCCACTGGAATCCTCGGCAAACACAGCTGGATTCAGCAACGGCTGGTTCAACGGCTGGATCTGCTGACCAAATGCTGCTGGGTATCCATAACGCAACCATCAATTGTACCTGTGACCAGGGGCAGCCAGCGGCGTCCAGGGGGCCCATGACACAAACTCTCCCATGCCTGGAAGCAAATGTCCAGGCCATCAAACGTCCTGGGCTCTACACCAGCGACCCAGATGGTTGATTGGGAAAGGAAACCCTGAAAATAGTTGTGGGACAATGTGGCAATCCGCCTTGATGCAAACACAAAGCTATTTTTACTACGTAACTACCAGGTGGAAAACAAACCAGCCATCAGCTCTGGTGTTTGTCAGTTGATGCGTCCATTTGAACCTGTAGAAAGCACAGATTCGGTGCCTTGACAAGAGGTGCAACAGTTTAGATTCGATGGTGTCAATTTCGACCTTTCCTCATGCGGGTTCCGGATCTGTAACCAGCCTTCTTCACATAGAATTGATATCAAGAAAGAATAACCAAACATGTATAGGTGCTAATCCCCCTCAACCCTGATTGTTTTGCCATTTTCGGGCAGGGTGCCACCAACAACCATAATGTGACCTGACCTTGAAGTCTGCAGTGGCCAAGAGTCAGGGACCACAAATATCCAGCGATGCCAGAAAATCCCGTGCCCGACGACCAAGCAGCCAAACAGACCTGTCAGAAAACAGGCTGTCCGAAAGTCCAGTGGGTTACGTTTTTATCATTATGGTCCCTTTCGAAAATTGCAAATTTGGCGGTATGCCGCATGTAAACAACCACAATATTTATATCCCATTGAACATATACATATACATATATACATATGTATATATATATGTATATTTCCATATATACATATATGTATATGTACATGTATATATATATATATGTGTGTGCGCGTGTGTACATAGACACATATAAACAAATATACATATATACATATATACATATATACATGTTTACATATTTACATATTTGTACATGTATATACTTATCTTTTACACATTTTAATATATATATATATACAAATATACATATACCAATATACACATGTACAATGTATATTCGTAAAACATAAAAACATTTACATGTGTATGTAAATGTATGTAAATAAACAGATATGTATATAGACATAGACATATACATATAGACATATACATGTATAGATATACATGTAGATATTTGCATGTACATACATACATATACATATATACATAATTACATATTTACATATTTACAAATTTTGCATGCTTACATATATATCATATATATACATATATACATATATGCATGCATTTATATATATATACTGGTTGGTGGTTTCAACCCCTCGGACAAAATATTAGTCAGTTGGGGTTATTATTCCCAATATATGGAAAAATAAGAAAATGTTCCAAATTCCAGACCACCAGTATATTTATATATATATATACCTATATAAATTTATACAGTTCTTTATGTACCTGCATATTTATTTATGCATATATTGGGTTATATCAGGATGAGTATACTCATTGAGATGGCCATACAATACACTGGGGCAATCCATATTTTTTCCACAACTCCAGTCTGTGAAAAGCGGCCATGAGGTGACAATCGTTTGTTGCTATCGGTATGGGGATGGCGACCCCTGCCGTCGTGAGATTCTCTGAATGGCAGGACGCGTTTTACTTCTTAATTGTAGCACAATTCATGGGAAACTACGTTCCCTGCTCTTGGAAATATATTTCGTTCACCAGGAAGCCGCCATCATGATTATTGAATCCTACTAGACGTGCTACTAGCCAACTATCCCGATTGCTAGTGGATATCTCCCCGGAAGTTTTGGCGTTTCTGCCCCCATCATTATTTTGATGATATCTGCTGACATCTTCATCCTTCCTCCAACAATATCCTTTTGGCAAAAACGAAGGGTCCCTTCGGTTTTAGATGGTTTAACCATTCACACTCACATCCTATATGTTTCATCAACCAACTAGTTGGATATCTATGGATATAGTAGCTCAAAGGTTTTTCAAAGTATACATACATTACATTACATTGCGCTGCACTGCACTACATTACATTACATTACAGTACATTACATGACATTACAAAACATAACATAACATAACACAACATAACATAAAATACATATAGACATATAGAAGGGAAAAACAAATATCATAATTCACTGACCTGAAATGAAGCTGTTTTGGGGTAGCTACCCCTTACTAACCACGGAAGGGCGCCTGGGCGTCGTAGAAGCTGGTCATCGCCAGGATCGAAGCCTCGCCCATGCCACAGGCCAGGGAACAGAAGGCCACCTGCCAGCGCCGGTGGTGCGAATTTATCCACTTGATGTTGGTGAATAATGATAGTAGTGATTGATAGTGATTGATAGTGATTGATAGTGATTGATAGTGATTGATAGTGATTGATAGTGATTGATAGTGATTGATAGTGATTGATAGTGATTGATAGTGATTGATAGTTATTGATAGTGATTGATAGTGATTGATAGTGATTGATAGTGATTGATGGTGATTGATGGTGATTGATGGTGATTGATGGTGATTGATGGTGATTGATAGTGATTGATAGTGATTGATAGTGATTGATAGTGATTGATAGTGATTGATAGTGATTGATAGTGATTGATAGTGATTGATAGTGATTGATAGTGATTGATAGTGATTGATAGTGATTGATAGTGATTGATAGTGATTGATAGTGATTGATAGTGATTGATGGTGATTGATGGTGATTGATAGTGATTGATAGTGATTGATAATGGTAATTTATCCAATTTATCCACTTAACAGTCATTCATGATAATGTTTAATTAAGAATAGTGATTGATAGTGCAACTAATCATGATAGTGTTTGTCAGTGACTAGCGATTAATAATTGATTAATAGCGGTTGATAGTCATTGATCATTCATGATTATTTGTATATAGTGACAATGATTTATAGTGATTAATGGTTAATTTTCAAACACCAACTTTACCTTCACAGGCGTGCACGCTCTTCAATAGTCATTGATTACACTATTTTGGGGGGTAGCCAGCCTCTCCAATAGTCAAGGGTTCCTAATCCGGGATTGACATGAACGTGATTTGAGAAAATGGCAGCATGATCCAACAGTGCATTACATTTGATAGTATTTTTCCGGCGTTTTGTGCAACTTTAGGGTTTTTTTGACTTTTCAACACATATCGTCGTATCGTGGTATTCTTTCTCAGTGTTTTGTCCGTTGTCCCATTGCCGAGGCTCTCCCAGCAGTTTCCAATATGGGCTGTCGGCCCAGGCCACAGTTCCCAGACTGAAGACCATCAGCAGCGCCATCCAACACATGCGCTGCCTGGTGCCATTCTTGGTGCACCAATCACAATAAACTGGTTCAAAAATTCATCTGGATCTTCCCAAACTTTTGAAAATGCGATGCGGGATTGCAAATTTCTGCTATGTCAGCTAGCCAATGCTGTTCCAATGAACTGAAATGGGTTACGTTCCCATGCGTCTACCAGTATTGGGTACCACTGATTTTTTCAATGCCGAACAGAATTAGACAATGTTGGCATGATGTTCATTTGGGTATGGGTACTGTATTAAGTTACTGCGCTATACTAAGATTGGCAAATGGTTGCATTCAACCATCCGTTTCAATTTGGTTCCCAACTTGCGGATTTTTGAGGGTGGCTCACTGGCCACCCAGCTCAGCACCAGCCTATAGCTCACCCAATGGAACCAGTAGGGCCCAGTGAGCTTCATGGTCAACGATGGTACCACATTGGCCAAGTACACCAGAGCTATTCCTGCCTTGGAACTTCAAGCAAGATAAACTGCCCTTCGACAAATCAACAAGGAAATATACATACACGTGTCTATATTCACATCTACAGGTACATATAGTTGCGGAGTGAAACTTAGAATGGGGAAAAATCACGCAGAAATAAATATATAAAGTTTCAAATGACACAATCGCACATATGTTTCTCTCAGCGAACTTTGCCACAATGCAACAACTTTCTTTAGGCATCAATTCCTTTCAAAGCGTGCTTCTCTTTTTTAAATGCGGGGTTTCTAGCTCACGTCTTTATTTGAGATAAACAGCGATCAGGAAACGCGAAGTTCTTCGCTTAGGCCCATGCCAAACTCTAGATGCGTGCAAATTTCCTGCAGCCACAAGGGGGTAACCAAGACAATTGTAGCTAAGAAATTGTGATGCTTCACACGCTGCAATTCCATGCAAACATTCCAGTGAACAGAGGTGCTCGGTCCCCGATCATCATTCTGACTTGCATGTTTGCACAACTGCTAGAGCGGACGAAAATCAAGGACGCGTGCCAAAGCAACTTGTGGGTGCGAACCGTTGCAGCATTGAACGCAAGTTCACCCAATTGCAAAAAGTCTAGAAGCAAGTCCCTCCGTGTGCAAATGTGCTGCTTAACAACTTCGCGAAAGGAACATTTGCACCCAGTAATGTTTGCAGTGGCACCACGTACTACTTGCACACAGCAGACCCAGCACTGTTGCTCGCCATTTCTTTCTTGCACATCGCAAGACTCACGCTTCGCCCCTCACTGCAGCTGTTGGCTCCAGCCGTTTAGCATGATGTTGGCAGCGCGCAATGAATTCATGATTGAAGATCCATCATTCATCACAATCCCATGGTTCCCGCTCTCTCTCTCTCTCTCTCTCTCCCCTCTCTCTCTCTCTATATACATAGTACCCTCAACTACTACTATGGGACCCTGGATCTTCACTTTGACCCCCAAGCCCTGGGCCTAACATGATTGAGCTCACCAAAACCCTACCGTTTGACCATGCTAGACCTTTTGTGGGGCAACATCTTTGGGGTCTAAGATGATTAGGCAGACCCTTACGTATGGATCTATCAAGATGGAACGTATGAATACGTATGAACAAGTTTGGAATTGATATAACTAAGTTGGCTTTATTTACTAAACTCGGAAACCGGCAGCCATACCTCCAAAAAATTGCATCTGTTTTCGCTTGGGGCTAGGATCACGAAACCAAACCCCAGAAAACAACCGCGTTGCTTTTAAAAATCGCGCGCTCGTCTTACGCAGTGAAAACATGCAAACCGACAATACGCAGTGCAAACATGAAATGAAATAGAAAAAAAGATTCAAAAAACACATCTTCTAATACGAAGCCACATCTGCAGCCATACCTCCAAAAATTTGCATCTGTTTTCGCTTGGGGCTAGGATCACGAAACCAAACCCCAGAAAACAACCGCGTTGCTTTTAAAAATCGCGCGCTCGTCTTACGCAGTGAAAACATGCAAACCGACAATACGCAGTGCAAACATGAAATGAAATAGAAAAAAAGATTCAAAAAACACATCTTCTAATACGAAGCCACATCTGCAGCCATACCTCCAAAAATTTGCATCTGTTTTCGCTTGGGGCTAGGATCACGAAACCAAACCCCAGAAAACAACCGCGTTGCTTTTAAAAATCGCGCGCTCGTCTTACGCAGTGAAAACATGCAAACCGACAATATGCAGTGCAAACATGAAATGAAATAGATAAAAAGATTCAAAAAACACATCTTCTAATACGAAGCCAGATCTGCAGCCATTACCTTCAAAAAATTGCATCTGTTTTCGCTTGGGGCTAGGATCACGAAACCAAACCCCAGAAAACAACACAAACCTGTTTTTTGGGAATCGGACCCAATTGCTTGATATCTGTGGGACAGCTGCAGGTCCGGAGGACAATGATCAGTTAATCATCAGTCAACCGCGCTGGAACCATGAATCCGTCATAATCAAGCACTGATTACAAATATCAACGGGCCATCATGTTCATTGTCATTGAGCAAAGTAGTTTTGTATACCTTATTTTGACTGTCACATAGTAATTAACCACTTCATTGACGGCTGTCTTCTTCGAAGTATCCTCATTGGTACTAAATTGACGGCCATGATTGTACTCCGTTGCATTGCTCTGCAGGCAGTTTGTTTTCGGCCACAGTATTGTCTAACACAAAGGCACAAGCGAGCAATTTCAAACAGTACGCGCGGCTGGCATGGCAGCGCTCAAAAACATTAAAACCAGCAAACCAGGGCTTACTCCGCACAGGCACGCTTTTGGCCCGCCGCGGCAGCGGATCATGCTCAAGCATGGTCCAGCCGCCGCGGCCGGGCACCATGTGGGTGACTTCCCGCATCGCTGCCTTCGTCACCTGCCAAAAAAATGCCAAAAACCATCAGAAAGAAATGCCAAAAAGATATGCGTGTGACCTTCTGCAGTTCGTCCTTTAAACGCTCGTTGCCACCCACATTTCTCTGCGGCACTGCATGGTGGCCGCCAGCCTGCCACAAGCAAAACATACATCCGAAAAACGGGAACAGGAACAAAAGCAAAAACATCGCGCCGCATTTTGAAATGCCGGTCCTCTCCCAGGGTTCGGCAGAGCCCACCCAGGAGTTGTCTTTTCCAACCCGTACTCCCCTGGTCCACATCACTTGAAGTCACAAAGCACGTTGCGCAGAACATCAACAACCCCTTACATTGGAGGTATTGGTTCCTATAGGCGGTCAACCCCTTCAATCAGCTCATCTTCACCCCTGCTCGTACTGCCACTAATTTAGTGTAAAAGAAAGCTGCCCACAATTTGACGGACATGTGCAGCATTGGTTCACAGATGAAATCCACATCCCACTGCTCCCAGCTCTTGGGCGTGTTCAAGCTGATCAAGTCTCAGATTCGTTTTCCGTCTGCTGCAACTCTATTGCTTGGTGTCTCCTTTGGAGCTCTGCTGCAGATCTTTTGAATCGCAACCTCCTTCTGGATAACCTGGCTTTGCATGTGTGCGCTCCTTTTTCTGCACCTGCGGTTTTCCGTGTGAAATTCCGACCCTGCCCCGCCTCGTCACCCACCGTCGTTTCCTGAAGAGCCCAAGTTCAAGCAAGCGCGTGCAAAAAAACGACCCCTATTCAACGACGATGGCACGAAACAAAAAAAAATGCGTTAGTTTCCCTCAACACAACCAGATTTACCACCCATTTTGGGGAGCATTGTTTGGTTATCCCTTTTTGTGGTTGCTTTTGTGGCTTTTCTTCATCTGTCCCGGCCCCCCGCCCATCTCGTCGAAGGCGTACCAAAAATGAAAACCTACAAGCCAAAGAAAGCGACTCTGCGCACAAAAAGGGAGGAAAAAACACCAAAACCCAAAGGAAAAAGCCAAAACTCCCAAACAATTTAGGTGGCGCAATGAGATGGAAGAGAAAGTGACTAGTGGTGTCTTAGTCCAGAAATAATCAAAATCCAAATGGGAAAGATCTTTTCGCAAGCGTCCTAAATGTCATGGTAAGTTTCAAACCGCAACTATATATATATGGGTGTCTATACTACATACGTGTATGTATATATATATATTGTGTGTATATTATATATACATATGTGTGTATGTATATATATATATACATATATATATATACATATATATATATATACATATATATATATATACATATATATACATATATATATATACATATATATATATACATATATATACATATATATATACATATATATATATACATATATATATATACATATATATATATACATATATATATATATATACATATATATATATATATGTATATATATATACCCAAAGTGGAAAATGTGTAAAAGTATTTATAGCTATTTTCCTGGGAAAGAAATGCTTAGGAGGGGGTCCAATGTTTCCATGTCTTAACTTCCGGTCCAAACCGGTTGATACTAAAGCTCTGAAAGGTCTCATGAATTCAGGTCTTGAGTCTCCAGCCATTGTCGGTCCCTGGATTAATCTACCATGGAAAAACCTTGTGACAAATGTCTGTCTGACTGAGACTTGAACTTTCATATGGCAGTGTGTCAAAACCTTGTACCCCTGGTGAACCATCAAAATAGCTGGTAAATGGATGTTCATCCCCCTAAAAATGGTATTAGTAGCTATTGATCCATAGCCATATGGGTAAAATGTGCGATTCAGGGGACGCCTCCCTGCCAACAATGTCCATCATCAAAGCCTGATCTCACCGCCGCCTCTGGACCAACGGCCCAACAGGAGATATGTTGCGCTCATCAGAAATGTGCATGGCATTCAGAAACATTGAGCTATCTAGAACCCACATGACCCCCTATTTTGGATGGTTAACCCCACATTTTATAACACCTCAAAAATAAACAGCCTTCCCCGCTGAAGCGGGCACCCGGTTGATGCTGTTGGCCCCTGCATTCATGGTCACCTTGGTCGTCGTTTTGACCATGTTTGACAGGTTGATAATGCAATGACTTCGGGGAATGTATTGATAATTATACACTCTTATCAATATATTCAATATGTAGATATAGAAAACAATAGAAATGGCCCTATGTTTTTCCCCCCTTCATTCCATTGAGCTATCGGCCATGAATGTTCACCGTGGATTGCAGTTCAAAAACAAAACTGTGTTTGGGTCAAACCACACCGGAAACACAACCACTGGGTGAGGAAGTATACTCCATGTTTCCAACCACTGGTTCAATGTCCGTCAAACTTGACAAAAAAACTTTGATCCATGTGGCCCAAAGGAAGTTGTTGAGCAACCCAAGGATCCAAAATGCCTCGGCATCCGTGGAAAATTTCGCTGTTGAAAAGCTAGCCTCAACATGTGTTATAATATGTTATAGTTATAATGATATTAGGATTTGCAAAGAAAATGAGAACTTGTCAATGTCACATATTGATCATATTGTATGTGAAAACTTGGGCATACCCTGCCTGCATACGAAAAAGTTGACCAGTTGGGGTAGATTCACCTTGGCTATCTGAGCTCGTCTTGGGTGCCACTTCTTCCCGCTTTAATCTTGGTTAAAAGAAAAACAGGCTTGGGAAACAATTCCATGCAATTCCCAATTTCAATGTCATTTATGGTAGACTAGAAAGGACTAGAATGTTCCAAGTCTTTGAGCGTTTTTCAGGGAACTTCCCTGGTCCACCATAGGATGTGCTGGACGTGCTGCAATGAACATCCGGTAGGCCCCACATCGTTCCCTCATGGAACGCGGAGCAGCGTCCAAGCCTCAGAGGCTGAGTACGGCGCCATTGCTTTGGTACCTGAAAATTGTTTGGGAAAGTTTCTGTACCCTCTGGTAATAACATATACATATCATATGCTAATATATACAATTATACATAATGACTCGACATATAATGACTATATAATGACTATATATATATAACAGTTTGCGAACTGGGAAACCAGCCGGTTGAATAGCTAAGTCATCTGTCTCTATGGGTAATGTTCCATAGCTATCACGATTTACCTTAGGAAACATACAGGGTACCAATATAAGAATCAAGTACAAAATTCAGAGCAAGGACTTTCCAAGTTCCAAAAATGCAAAAATGTCCCGAAACCATGCGAAACCATGTATATTTTAAATTTGCAAATATTGGCAACCAAACAAACCGGATGTGCTTGTGCTCCTCCAGTTGCATTTAGTATGTCTGTATTAAAGATCCGTTTGGTACAGGCATTGGGTGGTACTCAAGTATCATCTAAATAAACCATTATGGAAACTGCTCATGTTCAACAGGAAAATCATCTACAAAGGGACGGCACACCAAACCCATTGTCCGCAAAAGGCGACCCTTTTGGGCAAAGCTGTGCCATGCTGACCAGGGAACGCCAGCAGGTTGGCTGCTCAAGGAAAGATACCACCAGATTCGTCTGCTGCATGAACGCCCGAGGCGTTTTTGTTGGAAGTGATCAAATGACTTGTGGAAATGGCTGAGGATGTCTGAAATATCTTGAAGTGATATGTCCTCATTTCGAGTCTGTGTTGGATCAAATCTACCCAGTAAAATTGTCCAATAAGCTGAGACAGCCTCTCCAGTCGAAAAGGACACCTTTCCGAGCCTGGAAGAAAATAATTCTGGCCTCTAGTCTTAGAACTGAGCATGGGTACAGTTCCATGCTTCATGCTCATGGACTCCGAAACAGCACGAATTTCTTACGCGTTGAGCTTTGGCAGTGATGGCGGGATGGTTTGCTCATCTGTCAAACTGCTGTGAGCAAAAGCTACCAAAATTCGGCAAACAGTTGTTACTCGATGTTACTCGCTGTCAACAGCAGGTTGGGCATGTCTTAAGTCTCCAGTGATTTCCATGTTCCACTTGTGTCGAAAAAAAACCACCCACAGCCACAGCCTGCACCGACATCCCAAGGGGGTCCTGCCACCAGGCAGCCAAGACCTTCCGGATCAAACTCAGAGCGTTTTGCTCCAAGCTCCTGACGCACAAGGCTCTTGGATGGTCAACCCGATCATCGAAGAGGGGCGTACAGGGTCCCAAAATTCAGAAACCCATTGGGTTCCATTGGGTCCCCATAGATCTTTGATGATCTTGGCATTGGTCAATGGATTGGTTTAAGGGAAAATCTACAGGAAAACCCCATATTTCATAGGAAAATCTATGGTTTCCGGCTAACAAAAATCCCTTCAACCAATCCATTGATAGGATCAGCATGGGGGGTTTCCTAAGTCATGGGGATACCGGGATACCCCAATAGCTGGATGGCTTATTTCATGGAAAATCCCATTTCCTGGGCCAGCCGCTTGTCTCCATTTCCGACAACTCGCCGCCCGCGGGCCACCAGGCCTGGACATCAATGACTCGCGCGAAGCCACTTTCGAGCGCCGCAAGAAATCCACCTGCACCGCCAGAAAAATCAGCAGGCAAAAGTCGTGCTGGCACCTGGTTGGTGATAATGGTTAATAATGGTTAATAGTGGTTAATGATGGATAATCACATTGGCAATTGTTTACTGGTTGGTGGTATACCTACCCCTCTGAAAAATATGACTTCGTCAGTTGGGATGATGAAATTCCCAATATATGGGAAAATAAAACATGTTCCAAACCACCAACCAGAAACCAGCGTTCTTTTGCTAATTCATTGCTACTTCGGCCTAATCCAAAGATATCCAAAGTATGTTGTTAGTCAATCTTAGTCAATTCAAGTTGATGTCCATTCCCAACATACTTTAGCTATCTTTGGCTATCATTGACATTCAAGTTGATGTCCTAACATACCATTGTTAGTCAATTGTGTCAATGCTGGCGATTTCCCTATCGCTGGCTGCCGGTCACCACCTTGGAGAGTAGCTGTTGCGCAGCGCGCTCGAAACGCTGCTGTCGCGCAGCGCGGGACCTGAGAGAAATATCAAACGTCGGTCGTTTCTGACAGGGAACCCATAGTATGAATTACTCTTGTTCTTTTTTGCAGGGAACATATTGACATATTGGAAAATCAGGTCCCAAAACAAAACGAGTTCTAGGAGTGTGACTTGTTGGTGTTTGTCAGGATTCAGATCTAATTGGGCATCCCAAGGCTGGTTCAAGATTTGAACATGACCAAAATAGTGGCTCAAAATGGGCCCAAGATGCTAATTCATGACTGTTGTATTCTGAGGCCATTTTTACAATAGGATGGTCCCAGGCGTCTTATCATGGCTGCAGCCATATTGGATTACTAGAGGCTGAGATGTGATGTAGATGTAACTTTGGTGTGGACCAGCACAAGGGATGGAAGCACTACAACATCATCAAACCATCAAACGTACCCTCTGGTAATGACTAACATAGCTATTGAAAATGGCCCATTGATAGTTGATTTACCTATTAAAGATGGTGATTTTTCATAGTTATGTTAGTTTACCAGTGGGTAGTTGCTGAATTTCCTTCACAGTCGCGTGAATGTCAGATGTCCACTTGTTTTCAGAAAGTCTCAGTTGTGATCTCTTCGACATTCTTCGACCCTGCTCACCTATGCGGTATCCTGCGGAACTCATCCCCTGACCCCCTGGGATGCTTTTCTGGTACCAACTCTTCCCCTGTCATCCCCGTCTATGCAACCGCACCATGCCAGGAATATGGCAATGGGAGTTGCCTCAGGCATCCCAGAAGTTGCCCCTTTGGTACCTCAAAATGACTACATCTCCAATACTAAACCAGCAACTCCGCTGTGGGTAGAAAGTTATCGTTTATCATTATTGTGGTTGGAGATGAAAATAAGCCAAAATAAATGGGAGTACCCTGAAATCATCCAAAAACAAATTATAGACAATTTTAGTATTGAAACCCATGGTGAATTGGGGATCCCTCATTTTGAGAACTCCCCAAATCCAACATGTTTATATCATAATATTGTTAACCAATTGTTATATATTATTCATATACTTATTATTATCATCCAAAATAATCCAACCATGCTTTTTTTGGCTGCACCGTCGTGTGTTCCACGGTTCCTGCAGGCCTCCATGTAGCGAGCAAACATCTTCGCAGCAACGCTCTCCAGCTTGGACTGCGCGGAAGCGGAAAATCTGGAGGGTCTTCCCGTTTTTTGGCGCAAATAGATAGAGAACAGCACGATCATGGGAAAAAGGTGTGTTAGATACTGTTAGATAGCAATAAATCATATGGAAAGAAGGTGTGTTATGGTGTGTTTAGATTGTAATAACGTTGGTAAGAAGTGCAGTTCTTTAGACATACGCTTGGACTCTAGGCTTACACATCTTTGAAACATGTTGAAATCAGATTGAAATGTCATCACGCTGCCCGACTCCGACTCCGACTCCAACACAACATCCAGGGCGGAAAAACACCTTCAACATCCATTTTTGTGAGTCATTTTTCAATGGAAAAACTCGGAAAAAACAAGGTCAATCAATGCATCAATGGATTGGTTTGCTGGGGAAATCTACAGGAAACCCGCTCGGGCCTGGTACATGCTTCTGGAGCCGTGTAGCAGTCGAGATGATTCCAGCCTGCGGCCAGCCAACCAGGTCCACCCGGCGTTTTTTTTTGGCACCAAGAAGAACTATTGGGGATGGTTTACCTACTATAGATTTACATGACTAGTGGAGTTAAATATAGACTAAATACTGAGTTAAATGATATGTTAATCATTGTTAATCCATTTTTTGGGAATGCTTCACCTATAGATTTACCTCAATGATATTGGTGCGCTTCGCCTGGTGCCTTAAATCATTGGTTGAGTTGCGCAACCCCCACAGCTCGGCCACCCCAGTTCGCTGTTCAGAAGAGATTCGAGTGGTGGGTTCTTTGGGCAAAAATTCCACTGGATTCCCATGATATACAATCTATATATGCCCATATTAATGGTGGTTTAATGGGATCTAATGGGATTTTATGTTGGTTTAAGGGGATCTAATGGGATTTCAGATTGGATTTACCCTCTGGTGAACATACAAAAAACTATGGAAAATCATCATGTTCAATGGGTAAATCCACTATAAATGGGCCATGTTCAATAGCTATGTTAAATTACCAGAGGGTACAATCTATATATATATATATATATGCCCCATGGTTGTCGCTCATATACTTGTTTCTACTTGTCTACTCGTTTGCATGTCCGAAGCATGTCCGAAGCAAAAAAACGACCTCATGTTTGCTTGTTAACTCCACGTGTGTGTGTGTGTGCTGATCTATATTGATCATATACGCTCATATCCACAGTTGTTTACAACCTTATACAACCTGTATTTTGTTGAATGAAATAAATCCTTGTTTGCCGTTCAATCTGGATGGTATCTCTGATTCGAGTCCATCTATTAGTCAATTGGACATCGTCATCCCAATTATGGTTGAAAGTTAAAATACCCTGTTGTAATCAGCCATGGCAAGGAAAAAACTCTCATGTCTGCATTACGATGATTGGGGATTTCCAGGGATTTCCCACTGCCATACTTGATGATCAAAGGGCAATTGAAACCACGAACTAGTGCTAGTGATATATTGGTTGATAATCGGTTGTCCCCCTTCTTTTTAGGTATATGACCCAAAATTAACAACAATTATAGTACTCGGTAATCTATGTTGGTTATAGCCAATATTTGGTCTTGTCTACAGCAGATATGGTACCCCATTGCAAACACTGGCTAAAAACCTGATTTTCCCAACATAAAAGTGCACTAAAATGCAGGTACTGTAAATTCCCCATGTCCAGACACACCCACATATCGGATTGTATGGGTCATACATTCCATTAAATATATATATATTTATATTTATATCAAGTTTATCTATATATACATATACATATACATATACATATACATATACATATACATATACATATACATATATACATATCATATATATATACGTATATATATATATGTATATATATATATGTATATATATGTATATATATATATATGTATATATATATATATATGTATATATATGTATATATATGTATGTATATATATATATGTATATATATATATGTATATATATGTATATATATATACACGATGTATATCATACCCGTTATAGTTATAGTAACTCCGGCAAAGGTAGGATATCTATATATATGGGAGTTTCCTAAAATAGGGGTACCCCAGTCATTATTTATTTTTGTTAGGGATTTTCCGTGAAATAAACCATCCAGCTATTGGGGTACCCCCATGACTTAGGAAACCCCGATATTGATCCTATCAATGGGGTGGTTTCAGGGAAAATCGAAGCCGGAAACCAAAGATTTCCCCATTAAATATAGGGTTTCCTGTAAATGTTCCCTTAAACCAATCCATTGATCACAATTTAAGTAGGAAATACCCATCCCCTGGAACAACCCACCTGTGCATCCATCCTCGAAAGCAGGCGCGCAGCAGCTGCCTGCGGTTGAAACCAGCAAACATGGGAAGAGATTTGGTTTTTTCCAACAAAAACGGGAAAATGATGGAAAACGGAGTCAGAAGCTGTGTTTTTCTCCAAGAAATGAGATGTTCAATGATGTTTATGGCCAAAAAATTGGGAATTCACCATGGGTCTGAAATCAAGCTGGAAACGAAGGTTTCATCGCATGTCATCGGCCCGACCTGGCATTTTTGCTGCCCAAGGCAAGACAAGCTCGCTCCAGCAGTAGGTCCTGAACAGCACAATCCCTGGACCACTAAAAACCGAATATGATCCCGGAAGTACGACGGCTGACGACTGGCAAGTGCTAGGGGAACTAAAGGATACTAAAGGTGCATTCGTGCTGGTGAAATACCCTATTGTTTCTTGGTCAAACACACAATTTCTGCTGATCTACTTTTTAAACTTGAATATGCATGTAACTCATTAATTGCACAACTATTAGATATAAAATCCCTTCCTTTTATAGAAAGGACCCCCATTCGGGCCCCATGAATAGATCCAGTACTAAAACAGGGGGGTCGTTTTGGGGGTATCTAATATTAGGCGGAAGGGATTATTTCATAGACATGTGTGCGTGTGTGTGTGTGTGTTCTTGTATTGTGATCCTGGAGTATGTAGATAGAATATGGATTTTTCAAACAAATCCTCACCAAATTTTAGTAATATGTTTGAAAACACCATATTCTATCTACTCCAGGATGATTACATGTGTATAATGTATATATATATATAATTATATAATTATACACATTTACATGTGTATATATATATATAAAGATAGAAATCCGTCACTTTTGATTTGTCAAAGCTGCCACAACCCCCAACTCCGTTCACGCGTTGACGCGTTAACGCGTGGCCACGCGTCGAGAAGCTCCTGCCGTGAACGCCATCCATGGGCCATGGCACTGGAGCGTTCGCCTTCAGCCTGCCGAGAAAATCTTGGTATCTGTAGATGTAGTGTCTCTATCCATCAACATCTATCTATACAGTTATAATGATAAAATTATATAATAGTAAAATAATATTAACAAACATCATAATAATAGTACTAATAATCAGAATCAGTTGTAGCTATAATCGATAGTAGTTTGAACTAGTAGTAGATATATATATATATATAGTGGATCAAATAATCATATGTATAATCTATAGATGGTGTGCGTAAATGTATTCTCAACCTCTATCATTGTGATGACATGTGATAACCAAACAAGTTCCAGGTATGGTATATCTTTCTGGAATGGAGTTCGTGTTGTCGAGCTACCCTTGGTGCTCCACTCATAGTTCACCATGGTTCATCAACAATGGGAATTCACTGTCACCAAATTCACAGTTGGCCGCTCATTCTCAGTAGAAAACCATCCCCCTAGAAGATAGAGAAGTAGAATCCTACTAAAATAGAAATGGAATGAAGTAGATTGTTAAAATCATACAAAATCTAGCTTTTTGGTGGCTACGGCTACTATACTAGGGGTCACCGAAAAGATAGTTTCTTTTTCCAGGATATTGTACAAAACCGTTCCCGGATCATTTCCACGTGACAAGCTAATTTTCTTCTTCTTTTTGGGGGTTGCCAAAATCAACCATCAAAGAAAACCATCAAAATTCCATGAAAATCA